AACCACCATGACTACTCTTAATTGAAATCTTTTCTAGCTACACTTAACCGTGGTAAGGAGAATTCGTAAGCTCAGCTAATCATATCATGCATAAAAAGCGAATAAATGGGTTTCATTCACAGATTCCAGAAATCGTATATATACTAAGCATAAGACTTTGAACTAATCAAAACTTTGACAACCAATTGTTGAACGGATGATTGGAAAAGACAAGGAAAATTACTTTTTTGCGCTGTTAGTATAATTCCTTACGTGGCCAGACACTAGAGAACCGAACCCAGTAAACATTGAGAATATGAGAAAACTATTTATTATTTATTTATAATAAATGACAGGCGTTTTGATAGTTATCATTGGCCCTTTAGTTGACTTCGGGCTTCACAGAGGGGTGGAGGAGGATCATCAAAAGTGAGAAGAATTCGGGAGGGGAAATAGAAGAGTGATTCAAAGATGTAAAAGAAACAGACGGACACAAAGACTCAGAAAGGGTAAGATGAGTACTGTGGTAGGGGTCAAACATGACATACAGTGGGGGGTGATGGTAGTTTGAAGTGAGAAGTCAACTGCCGGTTAATAGACTTTTTGCCGTATGCTTATACGTTGCCCAGGGTGCACCACGAGAAGGTAAGTCTATTCCATACCCCATATGAGAAAACTAAAAAAACTTTAAAATTTACCGACTGCAATTGAAATTTTTCATGAGCTAAATTTCACATCATTTGCAATACCCCCTCCTTCCGCCCCTAAGCTAATTAATAAATGGTTTGATGACAATGTGTTCTTTAGATTCAATTTGACTCGAAGAAAAAACCTTCCTTCAAAGTGTACTCTGGCGATGTGGTCGTCAACGTATGCGTCAACGCGAAGAACATGACGCAAGTTCTGCGAAGGTGATATTCTACTAAATCCGTTAAGCTTGAATGCAAAATGAATGGAAAAAGGTAATTTCCATAGAGTAAAAGATGCATTCTTTTGCTTACCCAAGCCAACACTTGGGTGCAAAGTTTTAAATCCCAGTGTCTCTAAACTTTTAAAAAACTAACTCAATTTACCTTTATCTAATTCCAAAAATTATTCTTATCTTTCTTTTCTTCCCGAATTATCTTTTTACCCATTTTAGCAGTCTGTTTGGGGTGTGCGATAGACTTACCTCCACGTGGTGCACCCCGACAAGGGGTGTGCGATAGACTTACCTCCACGTGGTGCACCCTGGTGGGTGTGCGATAGACTTACCTCCACGTGGTGCACCCCGGGGAACGTATACTCATCCGGCAAAAAGTCTATTAATAGGCAGTTGACTTCTGACTACAAACTACCATGACTTGACTGTATGTCATATTCCACCGCTTCCACAGTATCCACTTTAATTTTTTCTACCATTGTGTCTGTCTCTTTTTTTCATCTTTGAAACACTCTTCTATTCCCCCCCCCCTCTTGACTTTTTCACTTTGGTGTTCCTTCAACTCCGTGAAGCCTGAAGTCAGCTATGGGGCTAATGATAAAAATCAAAACGCCTGGCATTTGATATAAATAAATAAGCTTTAGCAGGTTGGTACAGTCCGAGAACATCAAGAAGCCAAGCGAGAGCATTTATCCAATGGTTATTGCTGCTCGCTTGCTCTTCTTCACTCATCCAAATTTCCTAAAATGACAAATTTTCTAGGTGTTTTTTGCGCATAAAATTTAAAGGATTCGGTATATCAGATAGAATTCGTTTTAAACAATTTTTGTCAATATTCGAAATGAACGTGTTATTTTGATAAAAATTGAACTTCTTGACTTAATTTGTCTGGATGTCTCTAATTAGATAAGAGTGGTGAAATTCTACTTTAGACAATGCAATATTTTGCATAGAAAAAACAGTATGACATTTAAAAAATGGAATTATTTGGGCGAAAAATATTTATTAAAGATTAACGTTTATCTGTGTAAATATCGTAAATAATTTACTTAGTAGCTAGTTATCAAATTAAAATAGGAATCTTTTAAAAATTGCATTTTTCGTAGATTTGCCACGCATTAAAACAATGTTTCGGATAGAGAGATGTGGAGATTTCTTCAATACATTTATTAAAAAGAGGAGAAAATAATGCCCCCCTCCCCCACTCAAAATTCTCCAGAATCCACAAGAGCTATTCTTTTGTTCTATTAAATTTTACGGAATTTAAATAATAAATTTCAATTGAAAGTGTGTTTTCAATGGAATTGAAAAAAAAATACTCTGTATATTAGTCTCCGTGAAAGTAGCTTGCGTATTTACAATAGAAATTACTGTCATAGAGCTCATTTTACTTGAAAATGAAAATACTAATCGAAATCTCTCACTTCCAGGGTTGCTTGACACTCGGTTAGTATAATTTTTAGTTCACCAACTTAAATACTAATTTCGCAAAATAACCTCAGTACTATTAAGCTATTTACTTATTAATTAGATTTCAATAATAATAATATAGAGGGCCAACATCCTCCTAATTATGAGGTCGGCGATTAAATTTAATGGCAAGTCTACAAAGAAACGGTGACATATTAACGCAAGAGCTACAGCAAATCCGATTTGTCAAAAGTGAATACCTTCAAATCTGTACAAGCAAAGAATTTGGTATATACAGCTTCAAGTGGGTGCTAAATGGGCACTCAATGAAAGGGAGGTGGCAATGAATTCAAATAAGACTCACACCCTCGTAATTATACAACATTGACCACATCTGGAGGGCTTAAGGGTTGGATAAATGATGCGCTTAGAAATTCAGCATGCCATCAACTCTTCATAAATGCGGGAGGGGGGGGGCGGGGGGGCGGGAGGTGAGAAGTCATTGGACGATCGATCGCCTCAAACCCGAATAAAAAGTGGCAACGTTTTGACATTCAGTAAATGGGTGCTGCAGGATTTTTTGTGAAAGGTGGATAAGTATGAAAACAAATGACATTTATCCCTCAAACTTGCCCCGACGCAAAGCAGAAAGGTGAACTTCAATTAGATCATTCTAGAGTATTTGTAAAGTGAAGACTTTTCTGCTCGCTTGGATCCCACATCAACCTGATTCGCACTTAAACTGCCAAGATATTTTATTTCTGAACTTTCACTTCCAGTGCGTTAGTGCGTAAATTACTGAGATCACTGTGTGAACTCAATGTAAAGCATAATATTCGGCGAATACTGCAACTTCACTGGATTTTTCTAAATTCGAAGTATCATTGCTTCTGACTTACTCTCCAATAAGTAGAGTTGGGAATAACTTGAAGGAAGCTATTAAAGGTGGCTAGTACTCAACGCTATAATGACGCCAGCTCAGCAGATTGATATTAATTAAGGGTGAGGAATATTTGTAATGCGTAAGCAGAATTTCAAGGCTACGACCAGACTGCAGCGCTATACTATGCCTCATATCTATAATTGTTGAGCGTTTATTAAATTATTTTTATGCTCATTGTCCAAGGGTAATCAAAATCGAAATTTAAAAATTGAATCTACATTTTCAATAGGTGCGATTAGCTATTTTTTGAGATCATCGTGCAATATTTATGAATTATAAAGTAAACTTACTTTTCAATGTGATTGAACAGAGTTAGATTATTAATACTTTAACATAAAATCGTAATGCCATATTCCATTGCAACTAATAAGTAGCTTTAATTAAGATGATTTTCGGAAAAATTTCCACCTCACGATTTTGTGGATCACGAAGATGTACTTCTTTGTTGAAGCAGTATCTAATATTTTAGAAATTTTATTATTAAATAAGTAATAATTAAGGTGATTTTGGTATTTTGAAATAACAAAATACCAATATGATTAATGTCAAAAAAATGTGAAAAAGTACTAAGTGTGTTCCCTTTAAATCCCAGCAAAAATATCAGATTTCGGCTTTTGAGTATAAATAAATAGGCTAAAAGGCAGGCATTAACGCGGCATTAAAATAAAAACGAATTTGTACATTTTGTTTGAAACTTAAGTGGAAACGAAGTGGAAGAAAAATTTCCCAGTTGAGTACAATCCACATCTCACAACCACAAGGAAGCGTACAGGCATTAGCCAATAGGCGAGTGGGTTAAGTGCGTACGTGGAAGTGTCCACGCCTGGAGAGAAGTGATAGCCTTGGGCGGGAGAGACGTCTGTCCCACTTTGCTCCCGGAACCACACCCCTCAAAGACGTCCGCTTATCATTTATCTTCCAATTACTTGGAGTAATGATTCCATTAAAATGCATTTATTCCATTGTGTAAGTCAATTCACATTTACCTTGTTCCTCTTAAATATAATGCTAAGTAACAACAATAGGCATATTGGCTGTTATTCGTTTGTCATCTAACGATTGCGGTACTTCAGGAAGAGTTTCAAGCTTTTATTTAACACGCGATACTTTATTTAAGCATCAAATTGCGGAGAGGCAGAAGCCATTCTGTTACATTTTTTTATATTAACATTCCTTGCAAGTGGCTTTAAAGTCCCTTTTAGGGTAATTAATTGCGTAAAACGAGGGTGGTAAACGCCTATACTTGGTCCAAATTCGTCGTGAGGATGTCAGATATGTCGATAAAATTGGATAATTAAGAGGATGACTCAGACTCTTTGATAAATAAATAAATAAGTAAATACATATATGAGAGGTTAACTGATCCGATAAGAGAATGAAATAGTGGAGCGAAACGTGACACTGATTTGTGACTCAATTATATTTATGTAAGAGTGTTTCTTGAGTACATCTCGATTTGTATCTATATTGGAGAATTTAAACTTTTTCGGCTTAAGGAAAAACTGGCCCATTAAACACCTTTTAGTTTGGTTTTACTTTTGTTAAAGTATTATACAAGGGTTCAACAGCGAAATTGTCAAGCCATTCGTATGTGCTGATTGGAAGCAAATTTAGCTCCAATTTATCATTTGGCAATTTACCTCTTACGTTATCCACACAATTAAGTGGCAAAATAATTAAAATGAATTTCTTTCTTAGATTTCTACTGATGTTAACCCGCGTTTACAGAGCTGGATCTTCGGAAACCTCTTTACCTACAGCTACATTCCAAATGGTAGACGAAATTAAGACTGGTGAAAATATCGGGAATATTTGCAATAGTCTTTGGCCAAATTCCAATAGGGTCTTCTCCTTAATTGTGGTTACCTACTCCCGATTTCAGCGATTTAATGAATACTTCTCAATTTTCAAGAATGGTACTATAATTGCACAGAAACATGTTGATCGTGATAATGTGAACGATATTTGTGGTCCTCTCGATTGTTGTCAGTCGCCAGTTTGCACAATACAGGCAAAGGTCATGTTCATTGTTGAACAGAGCGACAGTGGCACTATTAGAGCTCATGATCAAATGATGGCTCACCTCCAAATCCACCTGACAGATATCAATGACAATCCACCAAAGTTTCCCCTTAATTCTCTGGGATTTCCTCTTTTTACTATTCGTATCCAAGAAGGAGCCAAATTCGCGCGTGAAATGCTACCTTCGGCGATTGATCTAGACAGTGTCGGAAACGGAGTGGTGCAATATCGAATCGAAGCGAATTCGCCATCAGCTGATTTGTTCCAGCTCACTTATGAGAAGGTCCTAATTAACTCACTGAATGAATCCCATGGCTGGAGACTGTCACCCCCTACATTATTACAACTTCGGGAGTTGGATTATGAGAATCCTGCTGATAGACAATTCGAACTTGTGGTCCTAGCGATAGACGGTGGAGAACCATCACATACTGGATCTCTTTCTGTAACTGTGATTCTTATGGACGTTAATGATAATACCCCACAATTTGAGAAAACCACCATCACCACAATTGAATTGGCTGAGAACACGACGTACTCCCCAGATCCAATCTACAAGTTTGCCGCAAGCGATGCAGATTCTGGAGAAAACGGGCTCATCACTTACTCATTGAGTCCTCTGAACGACCCAAAAGTGTTTGAGAACTTCTCAATTGATCGAAGGCTTGGAGCATTGCATTTGAACACTTTGTTGGATTATGAGGTGTACAGTGAAAGATCATTCTCTGTGATTGTAGTCGCCTCTGACAACGGAACACCAAAAAGATCAGGCACAACTACCCTCACAATTGTCACTAAAGACATAAATGACAATCTTCCAAGTTTGGTTGTTCAAGAGAACATTACAGTCATAGAAGGACTCAACTACACAAAACCTGTTGTCAGATTTTACGTTAAAGATGATGACTCTGTGTCAAGGGGAAAGGTAGGAATTAAAAGTGTTCATACATGATTTTAATGTGATCTTATTAGACAATGCATAACTTAACTGCTACATTTATGAAGGCATTAAAATCTTTAAAAGCATAATTTTTGACGGACAAAAATAGTATACTCTTAATTTTACATATCAAATGTATTTATAACTATGATTATTCAATGCATTTTTTTGCCAATTCGAGATTATTTACAAACATATAACAATAATAAATAAAATTAGCGTTTTGCTTTAAATTTTAAGCGATGACTTTTGAGGGTATTTAAGTTTGTAGTGGAATTTTGCAACTATTTCTAAAACAAGGTTTAATTAATAAAAAAATCGGTTCTGATTTTATGGGAAATGTTCACCGCAACCGTTTTATACCTTAGTATTTTAAAGTTATATCTACAGTATAATCGAATGGACCACTTACGTTGTGGGAAAACAAAGCAATTCGATGGAGTTTTAATATGACTATAAAATATTACTGCTATAACAAGTTGAAATAATCGATTTGAAGGTAAATGTTTGTGAAATGGCTTACGTCAAGCAAAATGAAAATTGATCTTTTTTCCATTTTAGTACATAAATTTAAATTTGCAAAATAAATATTCAAACTCAATTTTAAAAAATTGAATCATAACTTAATCCAATTTTTGATTATGTGGTTAACTACTGCGTTTAAAATGCCCCCCTCCTAACGCTTTATTTGAGAGCTTCGAAAAGTAAATAGACGATCATCAATGACGAAGAAAACGTACAATTTGAATTATGAAAAGCTTCTAAGCAAAAGGGGGGTTACAAAACAACGGCTCAATATCAGGGTTTTTGTAAGTCGAGAGTATTTTTCAATCATTCCTAAAAGTAATGACACCAAAATTCCGGGTGTCATGTCTCGCAAATAACAGCGAAAGCGTTTTCCTTTCACATAGCCATTATACCAACCACTCCGGTGGGAGATAAATTCTGCCGTTTTGTGACAACTTGGCATTTCTGTGATTTTCTCTTCATCAGCGCCTTCTCTTCTCATTCACGTTTGATAAGAGTCGACGACACACCAGACGACCATTTAGATTGTGTCATTTTTTTTCTTAAACCTTTTGTTCGTAATTGGTATCGCAGTGAGTATGGAGTAAATGTCTCATTAGGTCTCCCCATCCAAACTGTTCCCATCCGCATCTGAATAGAGCTGCCTAGGCCGACTCTGTATAGGAGAAACTTACGACCTCACACCAAATTTTTTGGTCATTGAAAATTTTATAAAAGTTTATTGATTGTCTTGTCTTTTGAGCAGACTTGTCCAGAGGTTGAGCCTTCGTTTCTGCATTTGGAGTTTCAAAACCTCCCAAAACAGCATCTAAGTCTTCTGTTAAAACTCAACATAGTCCATCCTGCTTTGGTAAATAGCAGACAAACCTTCAAGGAGAACATACTCGAAAAATATTTCAAGTAATTTTCACCAGAAAACTAAGATATTTATTCAGTAGATTGTGAGAATTTCCACGCCTTTAACTCATATTTGTAGAAATACATTACAGTGATTATTATTCTAAAAAGAGATTCACGACACTACTCAAGTACTTTGCCAACTGGACAGAATCTGAGTTTATTAGAAGGAGAAGAACTCTTATCAGCCTCATATTTTGTGACGCTCCCATCAATATCACGAGTTTTAATGATAAAAACCCTTTCCCAGAAAATTTTTTATTATCTCTCAATCCAGCTCTTTCAGTGGTTAGTAAGTATCTGGGAAAAAGACAGCCCAATTGACACTTAAGAACGGTCATCTCTGTGAACAGCATAAGGTTAAACTTTAATGGCACTTCTTGCTATATAGAAACGATAGTTAATCTAGAACTTTGCTAAATTGAAATTTGCATTTTTCCCCCCTAGTTCTGTACTCTAGAGTGCAATCCATGTTTTTTTTCATTTTAAATTTTAATTCCAACTAAAACTTTAAGCAAATGCCTCAATACTCATAGGATAGCACTTCAATTCTTCTTGGTTTCGAATCGCAAAAGGTCCTTTGATGGAAGTTCAAAATTCTGTTTGCTTTACCTCAATAGGATGTATTCACATCATATATGATATCTGAATCTGCAATCAATTTAAACGACTTCAAAGGTGTTAAATGTCATTTTTTCAAACGCCAAAAAGACGGGGTCTTAAATTAAATAAATATGGGACCTCTCACACATACACAACGAAGTCCATATTTTCATGGTTCTAATTAATTAAGCTTCCCACATTTACAATTTGATAAAAAACGTGCATTTGCGTCGATGGAATATATATATATATATATATTATTGACAGGCTAAACCAAAATATGTACACTTTTTTATTCCGGAAAGCAATAAAATTGGTTAAATGACTCACAAGGACGAGGGGGAGGGGCTATGAAGGGTTCAATAAAATGAAAGAATAAAAGTATCAGAGAATTTTGAATTCGAGCTGTACCATAATTACTTAAAGGGTTATTCAAGCCCCACAATTCAAGTTTCATTAATCGTCATCTGAATTACTGCATCGAATTCTTGTTTAATGTTAAGCTCTTTTCAATAGCTATAATGAATGACTACTTTCGCATCATATTCAGCCGCTTAAAGAACTCAACTTAACAGAGCTCAGTAAGCGATCTCTCAGGCTTTAAATAATATTTGGTACTTTATGGTATGGAGGTGCGCAGTCATATGAAGTGACAACCTTTCAATCAAATAATCGTTAGTTATATTTATATTTTTTTCAGGTGGATAATCTATTGTCAGTATTTTAATTTTTATGGCTCCATAGTGATAATGGAGCATAATCGGAATAGTTATTAAAGTTCCTAAATTTAATTAAAAGTTCTTTCCGATGTGGCATGTGGAGATGGTAATTTAATTTCTAGATATTTTCATTGCACTGTTGTTTAACTGATTAGTGGATGAATTTAGCCACAACGAGAAATAATTTTGATTTTTATTATAATTTCAAATGCAATTATAATTTATTTATATAAAATTTAAGAACTACCTTTAAATAAATCTGATTTATCCTAATAAATAGATATCGAATATCATAAATTCCTAACTCTTATCCTGCAAACGTGCTCGAAAATGCTCCATTTATTTTGTATTGTAAAATTTCATTATCTTCTAAATTTCAGCAAATATTTTTAATGTGTACTCTCTGAATCTGAGCTGTAATAAACACAATAATCTTTCCCATCCATGCTAGGTGAAGTCTGGAAAGCAAATTTGAAGTGGATGTGCCAATCTGACAAAAAATACTAATGAATGCTATTGTCCATATTTAGGTATTCTGTAGACCTGCTCCCACCACACCAATGCGAATAGGGCTCCCATCTCTTCGTTTGCAAGAGGTCACCACAAATGCCTACTTCGTCTTCGCAGAAGGCATCTTCGACTACGAAGAGACTCATTATGCCAGTGTTGGGATAATTTGCACCGACCGCACCGATCCTACCAACGCCCCTGACCAACTTCTTCATATTACTGTTGCTGTTGGCGACAGCAATGATCACTACCCGGAGTTTGCGGTTGCAGAATTCCATGCAAAGTTGCTGGAGCATTCGCCAGTAGGAACCAGAGTTATTCAAGTAGTTGCAACTGATGCTGATGAAGGAATTCATGCCAAACTCACTTACTCACTTGTGAGCAGTGCAACTGGACGTTGCAGTATTTCAGAAACTCTCCAGATCGATAGCTTAACTGGTGTAGTTTCAGTCAAGAACAGTGAATGCTTGGACAGAGAAGTCAACGACGAGATTGAAGCTTTTATCGCAGCTAAGGATGGTGGTGGACTATCAACTTCCGTCAAGCTTCGAGTTCGCCTGATGGATATAAATGACAACGATCCCATCATCCAGATTTCAGAATCTCTTGGAGTTTCAGAAAACTTTCCCCCTGGCGTCGTTGTTGGAAAAATTCGATGTTCAGATCTCGATTCTGGATCTAATGCCAAAATTCTACTCGAACTGTCAGAGAACAACACACTGCAAGTTAGAAGCGCATTTGATATCATTCCGGAAGGGGAAAATCTGGGGAATCTCTTCGCATCTCGTGCTAATGTGAGAGGAATGAGTGATGTCACCGGTCTTCTAATAACCAAACGAACCCTCGACAGAGAAGATGTTGAAACATATAACATTAATCTAGTTGCTAGAGACTTGGGCGAGCCCCAACGAGTAACTCGCAAAACAGTACAAGTTATTGTTCTCGATGAAAATGATAATTCACCCACTTTGCGTTTTCCTCAACCAAATACTACAGTTGGGTATCACCCCCAAGTGTATGCAAACTCTCCTCATGGGTCAAAAGTCTGTGTTCTCAGATCTCATGATCCAGATAGAGGTGAAAATGGGACGGTTATTTACGCCTTGCAGCAGGATACCAACGGATCCAGGTTTTTCCAGCTTGAACAATCAACAGGAAAACTGACCACAGCTTGGTACAACAAGGGGCCTCCTTCAGGTGTGTATGCAGTTCGAGTTCTTCTCTATGATATGGGCCGAACTCCTACAAAAGTTTCTTGGGTTTTCTACGTCTATATTAGTCCACGAAATCCCCTCTTGGACACGGTTCAGAATACGAAGTCCACACCTCTAGGACAAACTGGAAATGGTACAACTTTGGACAAGGTTACTAGCGGATTGACGCACATCACGACGATAATGATATCTGTTGCTGTTTTTATTGTCCTGGTTCTTCTCATTACTTGCATATGCATGATAAAAGTTCTTCTTCGTTCACGACCTAAAAATATTCCACACAATGGAACTCAAAATTTTGCAGAAGGAATGATAAAAGAACCGTCAGCTTCTTTCTACTCTCCTCCACCTTTGAGTATGGTATACACTCAATCGGCCCCACTAATGGAGAACGTGTTGGCAACAGATGGACTTAAATATGGATACACAAGTCCAGATCACTCCAACTGGTGCATGAAGCCATATGCACAGGAGGAGATAATAAACCAAATGCCGCAGGATATACCTTCACTTGACAGTTCCGGTGGAAGCGGTTTCATTTTCTCAACAGCTCAATCGCATCAGCAACAAATTCCACCAGGATGCAATACATTTCCTCATAATAGCAGTGGTGGAGCATATTCCTCATTTTTTCAAAATTACCCTCTCTCTTAAGACTCTCACGTGCTCTTCCTTAACTCCCTGTTAGCTATTCAAGTGCTTCTGACATGTACATATACGGTTATTTTATGCTTTATAATGCCATTGCAACAACTCAGTCTTATCAAAATCTTTGCAAATGCGGACAATAGTTTAATTTTCAGGGTAAAGTACTGTCAAAGGGTAAAGGCTTAGCGATGGTGAAAGTTCAATCAAGTAAGGAGTGCACTGTTTCATTTGTGGGCATCACAAAAGATGTGATAAATAAATAAATATACATGGTGTGCATCAAAACCGTGTACATGCATGCGGTCAAGGTCATGCTTGCTAGCCATTGTGGGAAAAATGAGGTAGACTTGGATAAAAGTAGGTCTAGACTTTGTGGCCATGGGAGATCAGGAATAGACAAGCTGAAAACTAACTCATTTAAGGGGAGTTGTTTTGCAAGTCAAAGATATAGGCAAAATATTTCAACCAACAATTTCCCGAATAACCTTCTTTTTTAGGACATCTAAGACCTTTGTTCGGAATGGGCGAACAAGCTGTTAAATTAACTAAATGAGTCAAATGAATCATTTAAAAATATTGAGATTAAAAATAAAGAAAGATGAACTTATAGTAGGCACACAAATTTCTTACTAGCACCTACCAAATGCAGCATCATGAGTGATCCTAGCTGAATCGTCATATATCAGAATGTCATTCTTTATCCCAACATCAAAGTCTATCTCGTTAAACTGGTATTTTTTGAGAAGTATATAAAGTCCTTATGGAAGAAGATGAGTGATATGGACTGATACTTACACAATTGCAATTCTGTTATGAGTCTAGTGCAGTTTTGCAGGGCGTTAAAGGATTAATTCCTCTTTTGGGGGGGGGGGGTTACTTGTCTGCCAAAGTGATTTTATTTCCAGCATGCCACTTCTCCAAGAACATGGCAAATTGCGTTCACAAATGAAAAATTCACATTTTGCAAGAATATTCCACTGAAATACAATGATTGCCTTCTTGCTCTCAATTATTTAACGTTTGTTAAAATTGTACAAGTTAAATCCTTAATATGTAATGGTAAAGCTTGCACATAAAATTCAGCTGGCGAATCGAGTTGTCCATGTAACCATCAATCATAATGAAGGAAATTCATGTTAGAGTAAAAGGAGATTAAGAAAGATCTCATCATTGATAGAAAGGTTTCTTTCGCACCTAATGCTTCTGATGCCCTGGGAGAGAACAAAGTGTTTCAGCTATACAAGAACGTGCAAATAAGATCTTTTGCAAATACGATCTGCATGATCTGACTACTAATGTCAATTTCCAACTTTTGATGCTCTTATGATTCAAGCAATATCTAAAATGGAAATGGGTGTTTTCACTCTTAACGACATATAGTACTGGCAGAACATGAAATTAAATATTCAAGTACACTTTCCACTTCTGTGACAAGTTTCTGATATTTTTTGAGGGGAAAACTAGAGAAGAAGTGATGGATTTACTTATTGATAAGTTGTTCTTCCTTCGGGATTTGAAAATTGCAGATTTTAAATAGTCTAAATTTTGAGGGGTCAATAACTGAGAAAGTCGTTTTTTAAGGTGAATTATCACTTACACAATCATTGAATGCTCCCAGTTTTCTCACTTCTAAAGACTTTATATCGTATTAAATAGAATAGCGATTGAAATCACATCTATCGAACTATAATTGTTTGCCTAGAATCCTTAAAATTTACGGATTGTCCAAGGAAACTCCATTTAGCCTTAGTGGACCAGAAGGACTCTGATTTGAGCTGAGTAATGAGAGGGAAAAAGTTCCGAATTTCATAGACTCAATCCAAACAATTAAACGAAATTAATGCAATTTAAGACTTGTATAACAAAGTCGTTTTTCCTATATTAGCAGGTTGTTACTATAGGTATTTCTGATATAATGAGTTTTTTTGCCTCTGTGATCGCATAAAATGAAATCAATAAAAAACCAATATATTATTAAATTTTACCCACTTGGAGGAAGTTGATCAGGCGCTCTCATAGTCTTATATTGGACGAGGTGCGGTGTGCGATAGATTTACCTCCACGTGGTGCACCCTGGGCAACGTATACTCACACGGCAAAAAAGTCTATTTATCGGCAGTTGACTTCTCACTTCAAACAACCATCACCCCCACTGTATGTCAAATTTGACTACTTCCACAGACCATACCTCACCTTTTTCCTATCTTTGTGTCCGTCTCATTTTCATCTTTGAAACGCTCTTCTGTTCCTCACCTCCCTCTCGACTTTTTTTTCAATTTGATGTTCTCCTCTGTGAATGCTGAAGTCACCTAAAGGGCTATTGATTACTATCAAAACGCCTGCCATTTGATATAAATAAATCTCATGATATCTATCAAAACGCCTGCCATTTGATATAAATAAATACATATTGGAAGAGGTAATTCCGGCAAAAAATCTATTTGTATGCTCTACGCCACACAATGAATCTAAGGCCTTGTCGAGACGAGGGACATAGGAAACGTTTGAAGTATCCCGTTTTTTCTAACCCACCTTTCAATCAGAAATATATTACAACTTTTAAAATAAATAAGTAACATCAAAGCAGTCTCTTAATTTTGCCGCAATAAAGTAAAAGTAATTTATTTATTCAATTTGTTTAAATGTGAAAGATTAAACAGTAGTTAGGCATTTAGTGAAAAAATTTAATGAGTACTTTAAGAAAGTTAAGTTAATTGCAGCATTTAATTTCTTACTTATGGAAAAATTTTACGGAATTTTCTACCATCAGGGGGAGATAGAATTAATCAACTAATTGGCAATTTGAACTATACTCCTCATTTGGGGCACAAGTCGGTGATCGCAGATTCACACGTTTCAAACCATAAAATTTCAATATAGTCGCAATAGTACATCCGCTGCGGTAGTCTAATTACTAAAAAAATTTTCCTTACGTCTGTGGCAACTAAACTCTTATTATCACAGCACATTTTTTCCGTGGAAGGTATGACGAATGCTTGAGATGTTTTCGCGTCCAGACGCATGAGTTCCCACTTTCTTCCCGTAATGGGATTTGTGTTTATCTCCCAACCATATCACTCTGACAGGTGATGATTCATCCTCAACAATGACGCACGGTGTTGTCACACCATCAGTAAGTCCCTTTTATCACAAGTCACATATCCCCCCTGGTGTCTTTCATACCTCTCCCCACCCCCTTCCTCCATCTCCTCACTTTAAATGACTCCCCTTCACGCCAGGGTAGAGAAAGTGAGAAATGTGGCCTGCCTTTAGACTGGCTTTTGGAAAAGCAAACAGGTAGAGGAATACCAGAGTAGAGGGGAATTTGCCACCATCAAGACATAAACGAATTCGTCATTTCGTTGACGAAGGTTGGCGTTACTGAGTCCCTGTAGGCTTACAGGGGGGGAAGTCCAGCTTCAATAGTTTAAATGGACAAAAAAGAAAGTTTTCGAACTCATATTATTCACATTTTGAACGTTGTTTCAGGTAACGTCAAAATTCATATACTTATCTAGATTGAAATTTAAGCTAGTTAAGCCTGTATTTTACTTAAAGGTAAAATAAATTCACCTGCTTTTATCAGATGGTTCTACGTCTGCAACATTGCTTTTAAGATGCCAGTGGCAATTCAACGCCTTAGTATCATACACTATAGAGCTTGGATTGATTTAATGCTTTAATTATCGATTTACTATATAAGTGAGCATTGAGGTATAGAGGTACAGTGTTACATACTTATCGATTTTTATCGATGTGAATAAGTTGAAAGTGTCTATTTAGTTTTGTGGAGAAAAGAGCATCGATTGTAGGCAATAAGAGAGGTATTTATTGAGCTAATATTCAAAGTATGTAAATAAGCCTTAAGAATCCATGAAAGTGCATTCAAAACTATAAGATTACGAGTTCTTAAATTGGGAAAATCTGTAATCCAAATTTTTCTCTGAACAATTTCAACAAATTTATTGTGGGTGATAATGCTTACGACTCTACGTGATTGCTCGATTAGTAGCAAAATTGATATCCGCTATATGAGTTAGATAAGTTAACACGTAAGCTTAAAAGTTCAAATTAGAAGGGCACAAGTTTCTTCTTTTTTATTGAACATCTGACAAATAGAGAACAGGTGTTGCTAATTCTATCAACATTACCCTTTATTAAGGTTACCAATTGGTTTTCATCCAATCAAAATATATCCCCAAAGTCAGATTAGTGTTGTTCAAATATCTTTCTTTCGCATTGCCGAATAGGAAGCGGTTGACTTTGATAAAACCATATTAGAGATTTTGGTATTAATAAATATTTATTTATTTATTTCGAATGGCAGGCTTTGTGATATTTATCATTAGCCCTTAAAATTTGACTTCAGCTTTCCCCATGAGTGGGGGGGTACATTTATAGCAATTAATCAATAGCAGTTCATTAGCTGTCTTCTCGTTTTCCAGTATCTCTGACTTTCCATCCTTGTCTTTAGAGCTGGACATCGAATCAGGTGGGTCTTCTCCATTTCCTCCTGTAGGTTACATAGNTCGAGCTTTAAGTTCGTTGCACCTTGAGGTCTTGAATTCTCTTCTGATTAAGGCCTTCATTGTGTGGAAACAGGAGGAATACCATCATCGTTATAAGACCAGTGGGGGCCGGATATTTAAAGGCTTTTCAAGAGGCAAAAAAACTGTTATTGTTGTTGTAGCTTTCTCACGTAGCGTTTTTAAAGCATATTGCCAGATTTTTTTCCGGAAATGAAAAAAGTCAAACGAAACTTTTCATGTCACTCACAATCCAATACTTCCATTTATATAGGAGCTTGATTGACAACTCTTGACACTTGATAGGAAGACCACCTAAAGGACAACGAAAGTAAAAATGTGCTATTAACTTTAGCCAATCAATGAACTCCAAATTTGTGGCCATAATCTCACTCATCTTTGTTGGCGAAAACGTATTGCCTTTGAAGCTTAGGATTATACAGAGTTAATTACACCACATTTGAGGCCATAGACAGTTCG